GCATCCTAAGAGCAACTTCCTCTCCGGCCACTTCCCAGCCTGCTCCTATACCTCCAGCTTTTTCCCCCGGGGCTGACTACATTAAACTCTCTTCAAAGGAAACCCCTCGGTTGATACATAAAACGCTGGCTAGCCGAGGTCACCAGGACCTTTCACCTCAACTGGGACCTTGCTGAGGTCAAGATGTCTGCTGTTACCTCTCGCTCCGTCTACAACTCCAGACGACGCACGGACATCATATATAGGGTTAAGACTGGTGAGTTCTCTCCCTGCTCCTCGACGTTCATGATTCACCCTAAAGGCCCGCAAATTTCCTACCTACCTCCCTATATGTATTGACCCTTCCTTGCCAAAGAAATCGGGTATTCACTCTACTCGTCGTTTCCATCAGAATGGAAAACCCATCAACCGGCCTAAGGACATTAAAGAAAGGGCTAAGAACACCACCCTGTGAGTACCAAGATCTTCAATCTTGGGTGTGTCCTTAGCCCTTTCTTTCAATGTCCTTATGCATCGCCGACTTTCTCTTCTTCCTGGCATTCCCGGTACCACAGTTACCTGTTACGCAGATGATATATGCATTTACTCGAGTCGCCGAAAGATCTCCAACAACTCTTCAACTCATTATCCTTCCGTGTGTACAGTACATCTACCTGGGTGCACCTGTACGGATTACTCCAGCTACACCTGTACGACAACGTGTCCATCCCATCGTCCGGGATCTCATAGAGCGACTGCAACAGCGTCTAACCCCTCCCATGTGGCTCATCAACAATGCTGCCGGGAGTTCTATCCCTATAGCCAGAACTATTGACATTATGTTTATCAGATCCGTTGTCGACCTTTCTCCTGCCAATGTCAACTCCTCCTATCCCTAGATCCCTTGAAAAATTCCAACACAAAGTCATGAGATTTATCCTGGGTTGTCTCACCTCCACCGGAATAGTCAACATGCAAACTGAACTCAATCTTCCTTCCCTTGTTGAAATAATATACGCTAATGTCTCCTGCTTCAGTATCAAATGTCTCACTCTCCCCACCTTGCCCCCATTATTCTCATGTCATTAGAACCTCCTTTGACTCAAATTCACTTCGGCCTCTACTTCGGCCGACTGCTGCCCTCTTGTAGTCTGTGTGCGAATTTATAAATGAGATAGTCTCAGGCTTCATTGTACTGTGTGAATGAGACAGTTTCCATATTTTCATGTGTTGTAGGAGTTGACTTGTTTGTTAGATGATATGCGGTAGTCACCAAGGAAGGTAGAGTAAAGAGCTGGACTCCCCATACAGTTGCGTGCCGCTAAAAATAGCATCAAATCACTAACTGGGCACTTAGTAGTTGGGTCGGTCAGATAGATAGCGCCACCGTCGCGTGAGTGTCGTCTGCAACAGACTGTATTTTGTTATATGACGACATCTGGCTGGACATTCAAGATCCGTTCAGTGTGACAAAACCAAAGTTACAGGAAATTGCTGCAAGTGGTTGTCATGGTTGTGTTGTTTGCATTAAGGACAAGAAAAGTCAAAGACATTTAAAATTACATCTCTTTCCTAAGAATAAAGACCGGTAAGATTATAATTATGTCATGAAGATAAAGGAGTTAAATGTAGTTTCCAGTGTAAGTTACCATGGCTTTGGCCCTATGTCTGCTAAGAGGTGTGTTTACACTTTTTAGATTGCCCTGCAGGCTACTTAGTGGCACCCCTTACATCCTGTGCAAGGTGAAGCGCAGAAGCGTTTACAGTGCCCATCTGGGAAGCATGCTAAGTTCATGCTTGCCTTTATGACCCATGCATTTAGGGCGTAAAAGCAAGTTATATAAAGTGACAGAATGATGAGTCTGTGGGGGAAAGTTCCCTGTACATTTCATCTGTTTATGGCACAGCGTGGCAGGTCCCTAATAATGTCAAGTGCCAGGCCTGTCACTAGGAGGAGGGATATCTGGCCAGGGAGGGAAGAGGTCTTGGTAACGGCTGGGGACCTATAGGAGGAGGTCATAGGGCAAGTGAGGGTGTAGTGACGGAGGGTGTGGGAGTCGGGTTGGCCACAAAGTTTAAAACAGTGCGGCCAGGCTCAGGCTGCCAATGTACTCCCATAGGTACCTGTACCCTAGGCGCAGTCTCATGTACATAATCTGTTGAGATCGAGTCAGGGATTGATACTTTTGTAGTGGCGGTTGTCGTCACCGGTTACAGCGTCATAGTGGCATAGTGTGACGCTACCCCGTTGTTTCAGGTGTGTCCAATTTCGTCGAATGCTTCTCGTTGTGCGGCGTGTATGCGAGATTTGAGATGATTCAGGAGAGGGCGAGAGTGGCTTCAATATCTTCTTCTTGTGTTGTTTTGGCAAGCTGATCAACAGAGTCACAGGCATTTATTCCTATGGGTGACGGGATCCAAATAAACTTGACAAAGATGTCATCAGTTTGTTCTAGCCCGGCGAGGGCGGCTAGGTGTGGGCGGCAGGGGAGGAGGGGAGGGTAATTTGAGCCTCGCTTGTGTAGAAGTGCTGTCACTGATTATAAGGAGGTTCCGGCGTTCAGTGCGAGCATAGGTCGCCCTCATGAATGCCCGCGAGATGCTTTCAGTGTCAGTGGAGGAGGCCCAGTCGTGGACCCTGATTTTCTGCGGGCCTGGCGCTCAGAATCCACACAGCTGCCCCAGCGCTGCCCAGCGTGTTAACAGACCCCGGTTTTATATTAATGTTTAAAGTCTTTAAAGAAATCACCGGCATCAGCTTGAGATTATGAAACTTGACCTCTTGTTTAATATGAAATTTCTCCAGATTAGTGACGTGGTGAACGGAAATAGTCAGGAAAAAGTTACAGAAAATGTGACAATTTTGGCTAGGAAAAAAGTCACAGGAAACAGTCACATATTATTTAAATATAATTGGCAAAGCATTAAAAATTAGTCACTTATTAACTGAAAATACATGACTTGAACACATTGACAACACAATTTGTATGTTAGGTTAGGTACATGGATAAGATTGTTATGGTGAATCAGCCCTTTCTGTTTTCTTGTTATTGTTACTTTATGCTGTATTACAGTGCATTACAACATTCTTATTTTATACCTCTACAATTCGACAATAGTGAGCTTGTAAAATGTGTTTACCATGAAAAGAATACTCGATCGACCGTAATTTCAGTCATTTTGGAATGAATGACGTTTTACAAATGATAATGAGGTTAGGTTTTCTTCATGAATGAATAAAGAAATATAAATTAATATATAATTATAAATATATAAATACCAGATTATAAATACGTCAAGGTTAGTATAGTTAACCCGCTATACTGCATCTTTCGTTTTCTATGAATGCTGCATTAGTTATGTCGGGCAACGGTAGATGGCATAGCGAGCGGCACTGAAAATACACGCAAATTAAAGGGAGTTGAGCTTCCTTACTTTACCTTCCTTGGTAGTCAATCTGAGGGCCAATTGCAAGAACAGTCGTTGGGTGTACGACGCCATTTACGATGACCTTCTTGCCCTGGTCATTTTTCAGCAATATCGCCTTTAACACATGGAATTCTGCACTTTTCGAAGCTTTGAAAGAGTCTCGAAACAAGTTTCCTGGTGGGAATTATTAGCTAGTGCTGTACTCAAAATATCGAAATTTCGAGATATCTCCAGAGCTTCAAAAGGGTGGTATAACTGAAACAAGATCAGGGCAAGAAGGTCATCGTAAATGGCGTCGTACACAACGACTGTTCTTGCAATGGCCCCTCATGAATCCTACCGTCACCTGTTCAAGTTCCTCAACATTATTTTAGTACATGTTTTTTAGGCCGCCGTAGTGAAAAGAAACCAAATAGCTCTTTAGGGATTATGGAGAAATTTAGTCTTGGTCCTCGACATCTCAAAGCATTTGACAGGGTAGGCACAAGTCTTTGCTTTCTAAACTTCTCTCTTATGGTTTCTCTCCCACTTTGAATTTCCATATTCCTTGAGAACCGATCCATGGCAGTTGTTGTCGAGGATCTCTCTCTCTCTTTCTCTACCAATAGTGGTGTCCCACTGGGTTCTGCTCTTTTCTCTCTTCCTTTATAAATGATGTACTTCACACTAACGACTAATTTTATCCTTTCGTATGCTGAGGATTCTACTCTTCACTCTTCTTCAAAATTTTCCCTACCCCTAATTCTCAACTAAATCTGTTTCTAGAGCTGATATCATTTCATCAATCAATAGGATCTTTGCAGCATCTCTGAATGGGAGGTAGAAACTTGGTTAAATTCAATAGTAATAAAACACAGTATTTACCAATTACACTTTACAAAAATAGAAGATGTCCCAAACATTTCAGGATGCAATCAATCTGCCAAATTCTAAAATAAATATGGTAGGCCTCACTTTCCTCGAAAATGTCATGGAAGCCACACATCCACAACGTTACTAAATCTGCCTCCCAGCTGGGAATGCTGTACAGATGTTGTTTCCTTCACTCCTGAGCAGTTGCTTCAAGTTTATAAGGGACTCATTCGGCCTACGGAGTACTAGATCTTCTTTTGTCCAACTGTTAGATAGGGTAGAATCAAAGGCATTTCGTCTTATTAATTTTCCTCCTTTAATTGATAATCTCTTCCCTTTCTCTTCGCCGCAATGTTTCTTCACTCTCTCTCTTTTACAGGCAATGTTTGGCGGATTTAACATCCTGTGTACTGCCGGTAAGGCAGTGGGCTCGTAACACTCGTCTTGCCAGCGGTGCCCACCGTTTTGTGTGGATGTCGGTCACACTAGAATAACCCGTTATACAGTACATCCTTCTTTCTTCACGCAGCTCTTGCAAATGTCTCACTTCAACAAGCTGGTTTCCTGCATCTTTCTTTACTCTCATCCCCCCTCCTTGACCTGTTGTGGGTCGATGACCTGCCGGTTGGGATTCTATAAAAAAAGATAAGTAATCTTAAATTATTTGTCTAATTAACAGCCACGTATTCCTTTCTCTATTTTGCAGCACTATTTTTATGAAATAGTATATTTGCAGGTAACAGTGGAGGACTTTACTTACGCCGTGTCTCACCACGAACACAGCGTCCCAACGTACGACATTCTTGGCCGTCGATCCTCCAACTCTAGCACGCCATACCCTACTCCTGGCCACACCACACGGGTCAGGAGGATCATATTGATGCTGCCTCTAACCGCAGTCATACTCATCTTAGACGAAGAAAAACGTTTCCCAGATCGCAAGAAAAAGTCATCAGAGAAGCTAGAAATATTTACTACTCCAAAGATATACTACTGGAAAATGATACCCGCCTCAGCTCATACGAATTACGATTAACACTTGTGTGGGCGCCATGTGGGTCGAGGATGGACCATCCCAGTACAAGGTCTGGTCGGAAGGTCACTAAACTGCACGATCTGGCCGCTGCAAGAGTCGTCCCTGACGTCATCGTTGTAGGTAAGTTATTCTCCAGAACAAGTGAAAACAACTCTTAATAATCACTCCTCCGATTCACAATTGGTCTCAATTACTTTTAGAACCGAACAGAACAGGGTGAGGTGGATGAGTGGCTTCAACGTTCGCCTACTGTCAAATCACTGGTTCGCGCCTAGTCCACCCACTTGTAAATTAGTACTTTAATATTGGAAATAACGGTGGGCAGGTGCATTAATGGCTCTAAAGCCTCTTTGTGTACCGAATGCTTAATATACAGTGTGCTGTATTCGCAGTAGTGTTTCCTGTTTGGGGGTTCTTAGCATCCTGGGATTCTGGGACAAACCAGGATATTTCCAGGATCCGGATTTCCCTCAGGTGATATTTGTACTAACTAATGCTATATGCTAACCCTACATACTTCATTAGTTTAGTATCTGTAGATTATTTGATAGGCAATTTATTTGATAAATTATATTACACTGAAGCAAAATTCTCTTTATTAACTTGCATACTGGTGTAAAATAGTTACATAATAAGATTAAACAAGCAAATTTTTAATTAATCTCATTCCGTTAGCCATAAAAGAAACTCACAGGCATTTGGAATGGCATTCAAAGTTAGCTAATATAAAAATAAAATTCTATATTTAATGCCATTTGGAAGCCACATTCTACAAAACCTAAAGCGAACACTTGAATGACCTGTGAAAAAATAATAGCATAAAATCATTTGTGCACAGCCACATCACGCACACATCAAAGTTGTTCATGAAATAACTCTTCAAGCCACAAAAAAACTTAATGATATTTGGAATGACATTCAAAGTTAGCCATTATAAAAAAGAATTATTCTACGCCATTTGGAAGCCCTACTCTACAAAAGAAACTTAAAGAGAACACTTGAATGACCTGCGAAAAAAAGCAATAGAATCATTTGCACATTTGCATCTCTCTCTTTCATGCGTTTTTGTATTTTACATAGTGCAAATCAGAGATAAGGAATAACAATAAGAATCGGGATTTGAACCAAATTCCCGGGAAAAATCTTCCGCCCAGGATCGGGAAAACCTAATTCGCACTATCCTTAACGGGCCAAGACCTATGGAACCCACTTTCACTTTTTTACTGATCGTAACCAGTTACAATATTTTAGGAATAAATCTATGCATGTTGTGTTCGTTGTGCGATTTATCTTCATCACCCTTACATCATGTACTGTAGATCCTTCATGTAACAAACCTGGATATCATAAAGATCTGCTTCTCTACCTTTTACCTCCACTTTTGCTTATAAGATCACATACAAAGGCGAAAAAACATTTTTTCTATCTTTCAGATATCTGATAGCATCATAAACATTCTAAGTTGACTCCGTGTAGACATTACATGGACCAACAACCATTCCGATAACCTTTATAAAAATGCACACTTGCTTGGATTAAATATAAGATTTCACTACCCCATATTCTTCACATAGACCAAGCTTTGTTTTCCCACGGCTCCTTTGCTACAGGGAATAAGAGATTTGCATATCTGAACACATTAACCCACGTGTCGCCTACAGTAAATAAGAGCACTCTTCTGTCACCTACAGCTCAAGTAAACTTACTGTTACACTCCACTTCCCAGCAAGAATATCTCAAGAGAATGTATCATATAATTTCACAACAACGATACTGTGTTGATGGAAATTTATGCAACAGGCCAAACAAACCATTTAAGAATCTCCGTAAGCAATTAAGAAGTTCAACTTTGCCAACGTCGTTGTAGGCGTCAGGAACACAGCAACTGCACCATTTGGTCGTGATTTAATATAAAATGGTTTCTATTCCATAAACTACATAGAGTTTTTGCTGCATCATTATAAAACAACATGAACATGTAAAGTTTTCGATTCCTTTGTCAGAACATCAATGAGAATGTGCAAATACATTACTTTTAACAATCGTAATGCTGTTACTCTGAGTTTGATGATGATAATGATGTTCTACAATTTAGAAAATAAAAAAATAAGAGCTAGGCTTGTTATAATTTATAATCATTCATACCCTCTTGTCCTTGAAAGTATAGATGTTACTCATAAGACACATCATCCATGATATTCATAAAATAAATAAGAACTCTTCATTTGGTTCAGCCGTTGTCAAACCTTGTGTAATAGACACGCACATCGATTTGGGACTGTTTTACAAATCTTCCCAGAATTATACATCTTCTAAAACAGGCCGTAGCACCATAGAGCCACATAGAGATAAATGATGTTGGATTAAATGAGCACATATTGTAATGCTCTCACCTTATTTCATTTATGTTCTTCCATAAAAGCAACGCTCAGCTTCATTAATTTGAGCTTGATTAGTGCTTCATTAGTATATATACTAATGTATCTTACATTATTCATTATGTAAAGAGGATTAGAGTTATCATCAGATCCTCTAGTGAAGGGAAAGGGAAATATTTGAAATATTTGTGCTTCTCCATAGGCTTGATGATGATGATGAGACTCCATAAGTCAACTTGTAAGATGGATACAAAAATATATATTATATGACATTAATTATATAATATCAAACAAATAATATTAGACACATTTAACTTCCTATTGAGAGCTTCAGTGTAATATATATCTGTAGAAACCTTTGAACGGACGTTTTCAGTTTTTTCTTCATCAGATTTGCATACATATCTTGGTTTTCCTTACTTCTTCTTGCTCGTATTGATTTTCTTAGGTATCGGGACATGGATGTTGTTGATGCGATATTATGACGACGAGCTGGTCCCTTTCACTGAGCTGGACATGTTGACTCGACCAGTGGTGGAGCCTCTCACTCGTCTTGCTTCTAGAACAACACTTCTCCTCTGGTCTCAAAGTCGGTAAGAGAAACACATTTGGCTTTCAGAATGAAAATTGAAGGTTGAAGGAAAAGATGCAAAAAAAACATAAGAATTAATAGACACAAATTAAGTTATATTATTATTCTCTGCCCTGTATGAAAAAGATAAATATTTGGTTTTAATTATCTTGATTCTAAAATGAGACAAAAATAAGTATATGACTCCAGGAAGACTGTGTGAATGCCCCATAGTTTCAGAGTTAAAACACATGAAAGATAAAGTAGGAATGCGATACAATTTACGGAGGAAAATTAAATATCCAATTTTGCTGGTGCAACATATTTACAGATAACTGAATCTGATATGTATTATCTAGAATAAATGTTCCTGAATGTTGCTTCAGCGCGTTGCACAAATAACTGTGGTACACGTTACGAAATTCAAGGCATTACACATACTGTACTTCCGGCATTGTCTTACGTTCGGCTTCACAATTCTTCACGTGTTGGGAATTTGCTTTTTAGATGACCGCACAAGCTATAATCAATGCAATATAAGTCAGGTAAGAAATATGGTCATGGAACAGGGATGCCACGCCCTGTCCTCATATTAGGCTACAACAACATCTTGGTATTCCGTTGCTACACGAGCAACATGAGCTGGAGCAACATCGCGCATGTACAGTACAGTCAGTCAAATAAGTTGGCAGTGACTCAATAAATATAGGGTGGTGCATAAGATCTGGTAACTGTAAGAACCCCGGTTCCACACAATCGATATGCCAAGGAGCTTTAATAAATGGACACGGCATGACGTCATCTGTGCAGGAATCGTGAAGTCAGTGAGCGGTGCAAGAAGCCATACTGGTTGACGCAAAGAATAATTTCATAGAGTATCTTTTATTCAACTCGCAGCCCTTTTTGTAAAACAAACAATGTAATACTATTGTGGTTCATCACAATACATAATACCAACATAACCAAGGGAGGGGGGGATATTACACGCGATCTTTGGGGAAACTGCAAAAGACATGAACACAGACTATACTAAACTGGCACTTGATTGATATATCTTATCTGCAACTTCAACACTTGCTGTACAGCTGGAATGTTATAGAATCTTATCTATTTCTCTGGATACATCTATGTGCCAAGCAGGATTTTACGGGGAATAGCCCACCCGGGCACAGGTTATTGACGCACAACGGGGCCTGAGAGTGCAAAAATAAGAGTAAAATGAAATTAAAGGTGGCATAATGAAGGAAAAATTGGAACAGCAGAACTGTGAGAGTATTATATATACTATTATGTTCATATTGTATTGTGTAATTACATTCAGGAATGTATGGAGGATCTTTATTATATATATATAATATATATATATATATATATATATATATATATATATATATATATATATATATATATATATATATATATATATATATATATATATATATATATATATATATATATATATATATATATATATATATATATATATATATATATATATGTGTGTAACTGTTGGAAATTCTCACACTGACTAGTTAATGTTTTTTTTATAGTCGATGGTAATGCAATGGAAGCCCCCTCAGAAATCCTGAACCAGTACAAACACAATTAATAAAATATTTTTCCGTGACCGTGGAATAGCTAGTACCTGTGATTGGGGTTAATGAGACGCACTGGTAAAGATAACACTTTATTCATTCCAAAACAACAGAAGGAATCAATAATTGTGCACAAGCACTAAAGTACTGTACGTCTTAGCGTGGTTTACAACACTACAATGGGAAACAAAAGTTATATATGGTATCAACAAAATATTAAAAGATATTAATTGCATTTGAAAAGAACTACTAATGCAGCAGTACTACATGCACAAGAATAGACACCAGAACGAGGAACTCATCTGAAACAATCTCCGTACATCCTACATCACTTAGCGGCAATAAAACATTAAAAATATTACTTGCACAGATGAAAATGCCTTAAGTGCATCCACAAAATTATAGCAATCCCTGGGATGACCCACAAAATACTATAATCCTAACTGTCCTAACTACACAGAACCAGAAGGTTGTAACTACTAACCTGCCAAGTGGCAGGCATTCACCAGAAACCGAAAAAATCTATCATGACCCGTCAGACAGGCGGGTGCTCGCTGTTTTTCATTATTCTCTCAGGTTTCAGGAGTCATGACGGATTTCTCCACCAACACCCGTAACATGCCTCACATATAAGTTCAGAATGCACCCATACTTTAAGGTGTTACAGCCTTTCATCAAATTTTGAAGAGGAACCCTATGTCCCGTGTGCAATCAACGATGAGGCGTTGATTACACACCTGGACTTAGTGATTTTAATCACATACACCCAATACTGGGAGATGAATGTCTCTATGTAACCATAGACAGGAAAGAGCGACCGTCAGCCCTCCTAGTTAGGCCAGCTCAGAGTACAGCCAGGTGAACCCTGCCCAGCTGAGGGAGGGTTCTACTTTCCCGTTAGTGAGTTTTCACTGACTGACTGAAGAAGTGGTGTTGCTGGAACCAAGGTGGAGAAATTTGATGAACCAGATCGACCACCGACCAAAGTGCGGCTGCTGGTCCCAGTAGTTAGTCGTCAGAACACCTATTCGCCGCTGCTTGGGTTGTCTCGCCTCGTGCCTTGCCAGCTATATCTTCCAAACCACCACTAACCACCAACCACCGACCAAGTGGGTTTTGTTGACCCTGCAAAAAGGCACTTTGTTAACTACTCTGAGATGGAATACAGACTTACTTAACGGATGAAACGCATGCTGGGAGGAACGAGGCCGTGGTCGTTTTCCTTAGCAGGTCTGAGACCATATCACCCCGACATCCTTCAGGGTGCTGACGTATCTCTAATAGTTTCTCTGAGACACACGTAATATATTAGAACTGGGAAACTATAAAAAATAACTTTAAATTTTATAATTGTCCCTAACTTCATGAATCGTGTCTACATTAAATCGATAAAGTGCATATAAAACTGTATAGGCCTAATTAAAACCTTCCACCTACTGACAGGGGCGTTGATTGGAGACCTTGTCTTAACTCGCCGAGGTGTGGGTGTTTCAGCCTGGCTTACTTATGTTTTCCTGTTCGGCAGATCGGTCATTTTGTTCTAATTTCTCTAAATATCACCTAAATTGCTAGTATAAATATATATATATATATATATATATATATATATATATATATATATATATATATATATATATATATATATATATATATATATATATATATATATATATATATATATATATATATATATATATATATATATATATATATATATATATATATGCTGATAACCAAAAGGAAAAATAAAACACGAAGTTCCCAGCGCTTTTAATAATTCACATCTTCAGGGTGAGTACAGACTAAGGAAGTACATAACCGAGGGCACACAAGGTCTTGTAACTATACTTAAACAAGATAAATATAGTGTTAGGACAGGTCAGGAATCCAATGCTGTGTTTGTTCATTTGAGGGATAATAAGCATTGCATTGACTGGGATAACCTCCTCAATATTACCTTGTAATTCAATTGACAGTAGGACATTATAGAATCCAGTCTCATTAAACATACCGAATCCTTCAACATGAATTTGAGTAATGGTATGTTCAAACTGGATAATTTCGTAATTAAGAAGATTTGTTACCAGGTGAGAAAGTTGGGTCATCTTACCCTCTGACGTGACTACCGACTGCTGCGGTGCTTTTGAAGATTAATAAGGTCATTACCTAATACCTGACCATTGTGGACTTGATATCACCCTCTCTTATATATACCTTGTTATGCTTCTACTTAGTTTGTACTCACCCCTGAAGATGTGAATTACACAGCGCTTGAGAACTTCGTGTTTTCTTTTCCTGTGGTTATCAGCATATACCTGATTCTAATATATATATATATATATATATATATATATATATATATATATATATATATATATATATATATAAATACAATATATATATATATATATATATATATATATATATATATATATATATATATATATATATATATATATATATATATATATATATATATATATATATATATATATATATACTAGCAGAATCGACCCTCCGGGCGGCTCATCAGCTAAGCAACGGTAGGACGCCGCCTGGGCTCCACATTGTCAAAACTTCTTCCATCAATAGTTCATTAACGGTGTATGTAAGTTCCACCATGTTTTTCACTACAGCTGTACAGCAAAGTATATTGTTTTAACATTAAACTGTTATTATTATTTTATTGTCCTAATCATCACTACATATAACACCACCATCATCACTACATATAACATCATCCATCATGACTACATATAACACCATCATCATCACCACATATAACACTATCCATCATCACATACAGCACCACCTACATAACAATATCCATCATCTCACCACATAAGAGCATCATCCATCATCACTAGATATAACACCATCCATCATCACTACAGATCGGTAAAGTAGTTTCCGAGATTCTTGTGCGGACACACACACAAACAGACAGACTTCTTTGTTATAAAAAGACAGATGATTTGTCTGATAAATACTTCATATAACACCATCCATCATCTCTACATATATACTTTTACCCCATCATCACTACATATAACACCATCCATCATCACTACAGATCGGTAAAAGTGGTTTCCGAGATTCTTGTGCGGACACACACACAAACAGACAGACTGCAGCACGAACATAAGATAGATGTTTGTCTAATCATCACTACATATAACACCATCCATCATCACTACATATATCACCCATCATCACTACATATATCATCATCCATCATCACAACATATAACATCATCCATCATCACTAGATATAACACCATCAAACATCACTACATATAACATCATCCATCATCACTACATATAACACCATCATCATCACTACAGATCGGTAAAAGTAGTTTCCGAGATTCTTGTGCGGACACACACACAAACAGACAGACTTCTTTGTTTTATAAAGATAGATGTT